CTTCCTTCCTTCCTTCCTTCCTTCCTTCCTTCCTTCCTTCCTTCCTTTCTTCCCTCCCTCCCTCCTTTCCTCCCTCCCTCTCTCCCTCCCTCCCTCCTTCCCTCCCTCCCTCCCTCCCTTCCTGCCTGCCTGTCATGGAGCCACACTCTGGGCCTACCCTGGGTTTGCTCACGTACCTTGTGTCCCCAGCCTATCCTGTCAGGGGAACCTTATAACAACTCAAAGAAATGGGGTGGGTGCAGAAGAAAGCACAGGGACCAGGAGAGGAGGCTAGGCATTATGAGAGGCCTCCAGGAGGAGGGACCTTGGCCTTGGGCTTACTGGGAGGGACAGTCCATGCCCACAGCCAAGCAGAGCTGCCCAGGTTTCAGGGATAGGCCCTGTTCTACGGGGTGGGCGCTGGCTGCTGCTGGCTATCAGGCTGACACGGAGGAGAACATGAGGAATAGGGAGGATTTTCTGCTCTTGTTTACATGATTAAAACCAGACAAATACTTCCTTTATCTGAAAGAATGAAAGGGCTTTGGAGGAAAATCTTTTTGGCAGCGAAACAAAGTGCAGACATTTCCATAATTCATCTCTGGACTCCCTCCCACAAAGCAGAGACACCTTCAGCACTGGCCAGGCAAGGGGGTGGTCTGGACAGGTGCACTCTGGAGGGTACGCCTCTGTGTCCTCATGTGGAGAGGGGGATCTGGGACCTCTCGATGGAAGGAAGGCTGGCTTGTTAGCAGTCGCTTGGCCGACCTGCAGGCTAGGTCCCTGTCTCTCCCTCACTCATTAGCTCCTTCAATAAGTCTGTAGTGGCCACCCACTCCTGTCAGCTGGTGCTATGGGCATTGGGGACCCAAAGAGAAGTCAGATGTGTCCCTCTCATGGGCACTCAGTCTTGTGATTGCGTTAGGCAGGTAAGTACATCGTGACAACCAGGTCATGAGAGAAGAGGCTGAGGGAGACCCAGGACAGGCCCCTACCATTGGCCGTATGAAAGGACTTCGCCGTAGAAGTGACATGGCCTGGTCCTGTCTCGTGAGGAGTCGGGCAAGTAAAAGGGGCTTCTGTGAGGCATTATGCAGAGGGAACAGCGTGCGTAAGGGTCTAGAGGTGTCATAGACTTGACTGGAGACCCAGGCTTCAGAGAGAGAGAGAAGAGAGCAAGGGAGGTTAGGAGCCTGTGACCAGAAGTCCCAGAGGGAGCACATGATGGCACAGGGCTCAGCGGAGAGAGACCCCAGTGAGCACACCAGAGTTTATGGCCAAAGTCTTGTGCCTCTCATGAACCTGACCCACCTTACCTTCCAGCTTGATGTCCGGCCTTGCCTCGCTGGATGCCAAGACCTCCAGCCGCTTGGGCATCCTCACTGTGGCATACTACCTGTGGACAACCTTTCTGGCTGTTGTCGTGGGCATCATCATGGTCTCCGTTATCCACCCTGGCGGTGCGGCGCAGAAGGAAATGACCGAGCAGAGCGGGAAGCCCGTCATGAGCTCAGCCGATGCCCTGCTGGACCTTGTCCGGTAACGCTCTGTCCATATGCTCTTGGAATCCCCAGGCCTGGCACAGGTCCCCTGAGTGGCCTCCAGAGGGTACACAGAGTATGGGACTCAGGTCAGCTCTTTATTATATGTGGCAACATGGAGGAGAATGAACCTTGGGAGCCTCAAGTACACGGACATCAGTGGTGAACACTCTCTGTCCCCAGCCCTTGGGCTGCCTGCTAGGCTTGGCTCTGCCACCTCCATGGGGTTGGGGGCGGGTGAGGGGACGCCAGGCTGAGAAGGGCTATGAGCTGACTGATCCCACAGCTGTTGTGGCCACCCAGCCTGCAAGGCAGGAGGCCTGTAGTTATCCCTCCTTTTTTCTATTGGCTCCTTTGCCCTAAATGAGAAAACAAGACCCAGAGAGGCAGTGTGGCTTTCCCAGTCTATCTAGGAGGGAGGTGAGACACCAGGACTCCATCCAGGCTGCCTGGCACTCAGGACAGTGCCTTTGTGAAGCCACTTCAGTTCCATGGACCTGAGCCTGCTCCTTGCCTGTCAATTACCCTCCTGGCCCTCGCCAGTGCCAGCTCTGGGCCCAGGCCTGGATCAGAAGGCTCAGTCTCCACCCTGCCTGACTCTAGAGGAATTGCCTTCTCAGGAGAGAAAGACCATGGCACACAGGCCCACTTTTAAAGGCCACAGGAAGCTAGTTCGATTTATTTCTGCGGCGGTGATGATCCAGCCCAGGGTCTTCTGCATGCTGGGCAAGTGCTCTGCAGTTGAACACAGCCCCTGCCCAGAACATAACTTTCAAACACAGGAGAGGCATAGTTCAATGTAGAAGGTCCCCCCTGGCCACCAGAGAGGCTATGGACCAGAGTCGAGCAGGGCAGGAGAGGAAGGCAGGACTGGGAGGGCACAGGGTGATGGTCATTGGTGGGATTGGGAAGACTGGCATGGTTAGCAGGAGCTCCATCAGGAGTCAGGAGCATGAGAGAGAGTAAGGGTGGGCGAAGGGGGCTGCTGCTGGCTGTGACCCAAGCACCTGAGTGGATAACATGTGGTAACCAAGCCAGAGGAAGGTTCTGGAGCAGGCTCAAACCTGTCGCAGGAGAATCTACATCTCCTGAGTAGATCCAAGCTGAAGATGGAGAATTTGAAATTAAGGAAAAGTAAGTTGCCCTGAGGTCAGAGGGCTTAGCTCAGGACCTAGGAGTGTGTCAGTGCTGGACAGGCCCTGTACACACATCATACTGGAAACGGCCCGTGTCTTAGGATTTTATTGCTGTGAAGAGACACCATGACTATAGCAACTCTTATAAAGGAAAACAGTTAACTGGGGCTGGTTTCCAGTTTCAGAGGTTTAGTTGGTTATCATCGTAGTGGGAAGCATGGTGCAGGCAGACATGGTACCGGCAAGGTAACAGAGTTTTAGATCTGGGTGGACAGAGAGCAGAAAGAGAGAGTGACACAGGGCCTGGTTTAAGCTTCTAAAACCTCAGAGTCCACCCCCAGTGACACACTTCCTCCAATTAGGCCACACCTACTCCAACACGGTCACACGTCCTAATCCTTTCAAATAATGCCACTCCCTATGAGCCTATGGGGGCCATTTTCATTCAAACTACCGCAGCCTGGCAGACTCCACTGGTTGACTTGCTGCATGGTTTCCTCTCACCTTCTAATCAGTTTAAGACATAAGCCCCAGTCTATCTAATATCAAAACCCCAGATTCATCAATTTGACACAAATTCAGTGCTCTTCTTATGGATCTGGTTCTGGTTTGGGGAACTGCAGCGGGAAGTTTCTGACTTGTCTGCCTCGCCTACTACACTCTAATAGGAGGGTACACAGGAGCCCACTTTCCTGGGCATGAGTGGACTGATGTAGACATTCCCTGGTTGTTTTCCTTCTGGTATGTCCATAGGTTCTAGCCCTCCTAGCATTGAGCTTCTTAAAATAATCCTTGTTTCATCTGAGCACACTTACAATGCTCTCTTCACTCAAGATCTCTGCTCAACTCTCTCGGTTAGGGTCCATTCTGTAAGAGCCATGGCTGACCCATGGAAAGTATATTTATCTTTGCTGGAAATGCAAACCTTTCCCAGGGCCTTTGGAGATGAGTCAGGGACAAGTCTCTTCACTCCTCAAATCCTGGGTCTCTGAGTGTTTCTCATGGATCAGTGCTAGAGAGGAAGATTCTTTCCTCCCCCATGGGACCCGATGAGAGGGCATCTCTCGCTCTCTGTAGGAATGCTGATCCTGTGTGTCAGTCAGTTGCAGCTGTGTAACAAACCACCCTGCACAGATGGGCTTGAAATGTCAAACTAGGGTTTGCAGTCAGATGGAAGGGTCTGCCGATTCAGACTGAGCCCAGTCAGGGGCTGCAGGAGGTTAGTGGCCTAGATAACAGGGGCTGAGATGGCTTGACAGAGACAGTTCTGCTGGCTGCTCTTGGTCCCTGCTTCAAGGCCAGCCCTGTTTTCTCAGAATGGTGACATTCCTCACTGTGAAAAGGCATAGCTGGCCTGGACATTTTCTTACCATGAAGGTTGAAGAGCTGGAAGTGAAGCATGAAGCTTTTGTAAGCCAGGTGATGAGACATCCCACAGCATGGCTTTGAATGTCCCAGGACACCAGTGATTTCCAATTTTGGTTCAATCTGTAAACCTCTAGTGTGAACTCCTGGTTCTAACACACACTTGTCTACGATATCTCCAAGCTAACATGTCGGAGGAAAAGGCCTCAGCCCTGCCCACCTCCCTCTACACCCTCCACTCTCCCACCCCTTATCCCTCCACACCACCTGCTCTCCCACCCC